ACTGAAAACTGTTCAAAGTTGGCAAAGGGAAGATAATGGATAAAGTTGTAATCAGTTGTACTAGGGAAGATAATGGATAAAGTTGTAATCAGTTGTACTTTTGCTGAAAAACCTCAACTTTAACTGTTTTATGTATCAATGTTCCAGATGTTCTTAAAGAGAGAGTTTCGCCTGGCAATATTATTGATGTTCAACATTATGGATATCAAAGTTTTAAAATATAAAAAAAAATATCTGTTTTAAATAATTTACTAAATCCTACCGTAAAGCAGAACTCTAATAGAAGTGCAAACACAAAACAATTTACATTGACCTGCGATACATGTAGGTAACACTGAAATTCCTCTCATTTCACTGTGTGTAAGATAGAGCTGTCCAGGGTGAGAAAGAGGTGTAAGAAATTTCCTTCCTACACCCCATTTCACCTGATGTGATGTCACGGTGGCTGAACAATGATGTGACGTCACGGTGGCTGAACAATGATGTGACGTCACGGTGGCAGAACAATGATGGGACGTCACGGTGGCTGAACAATGATGTGACGTCCCAAATTTGGAAATCTCTGATGCTGCAATGGGGAAAAGGCGACGTCATGAAATCCAAACCTTTTATGATATGTTTACTGTATAGATTAGAAAGATGTGATAAATTTTTCTATACAAACTCCGTTTGTAATTATGGGGTATGATTAATCTGGCTGACAGATTAGTTTTCGTCTACAAAGCTCAGGGGGAAAATTGATATTTCAAAATGGTAGCCAGTCCAAACGCATTTTCATGGTTTCTGAGCTCATTTTGGAAGTTGGAATAAGAGAAAAATACTCTTTTATGCCCAAGTGTGTAGGAAAGGGAAATTCCACCCTTAACAAGGGTTTTTAAAATTTGGTAAAACCCGAGGCTGTACATAACCTAACTCTCAAACCAATGAGCTAATTGGAGGATAGATAACCCTACTCTCACACCAATGATCTAATTGGAATATAGATAACCCTACTCTCGCACAAATGAACTAATTAGAAGATAAATAACCCTACTCTCATACTCATGAGCTAATTGGAATATTGATAACCCTGCTCTCACACCAATGAGCTAATTGGAATATAGATAACCGTACTCTCACACAAATGAGCTATTTGGAATATACATAACCCTGCTCTCACACAAATAAGCTATTTGGAATATAGATAAATTTACTCTCACACCAATGAGCTAATTGGAATATTGATAACCCTGCTCTCCCACCAATAAGCTAATTGGAATATACATAACCCTGCTCTCACACCAGTCAGCTAATAGGAATATGCATAACCCTGCTCTTACACCATTCAGCTAATAGGAATATACGTAACCCTGCTCTCACACCAGTCAGCTAATTGGAAAATACATAACCCTGCTCTCACACCAGTCAGATAATTGGAATATACATAACCCTGCTCTCACACCAGTCAGCTAATTGGAATATACATAACCCTGCTCTCACATGTACACCAATCAGCTAATTGGAATATACATAACCCTGCTTTCCCACCAATAATCTAATTGGAATATACATAACCATGCTCTCACACCAGTCAGCTGAATATACATAACCCTGCTTGCCCACCAATAAGCTAATTGGAATACACATAACCCTGCTTTCCCACAAATAAGCTAATTGGAATATACATAAACCTGCTTTCCCACCAATAAGCTAATTGGAATACACATAACCCTGCTTTCCCACCAATCAGCTAATTGGACTATACATAACCCTGCTTTCCAACCAATAAGCTAATAGGAATATACATAAGCCTGCTCTCACATGTACACCTATCAGCTAATTGGAATATACATACCCCTGCTTTCCCACCAATAATCTAATTGGAATATACATAAACCTGCTTTCCCACCAATAAGGTAATTGGAATATACATAACCCTGCTCTCACACCAGTCAGCCAATTGAAATATACATAACCCTGCACTCCCATTAACAAGCTAATTGGAATGTACATAACTCTGCTCTCACACCAGTCAGCTAATAGGAATATACATAACCCTGCTCTCACACCAGTCAGCCAATTGAAATATACATAACCCTGGGCTCCCACTAACAAGCTAATTGGAATATACATAACCCTGCTCTCACACCAGTCAGCTAATAGGAATATACATAACCCTGTCTCACACAAATAAGCTAATTGGAATATACATAACCCTGCTCTCACACCAATAAGCTATTTGGAATATAGATAACTCTGCTCTCATACCAATGAGCTATTTGGAATATAGATAACTCTACTCTCACACCAATAAGCTATTTGGAATATAGATAACTCTGCTCTCATACCAATGAGCTATTTGGAATATAGATAACCCTTCTCTCACACCAATGAGCTAATTGGAATATAGATAACGCGACTCTCACACCAATGAGCTAATTGGAATAAAAATAAAACACCACTCTCACACAAATGAGTTAATTGGAGGATAGATAACCCTATTCTCACACAAATGAACTAATTGGAATATAGATAACTCTACTCTCACACCAATGAGCTAATTGTAATAAAAATAACCGTACTCTCACACCAATGAGTTAATTGGAATATTAATAACCCTACTCTCACACCAGTCAGATAATTGGAATATACATAACCCTGCTTTCCCACCAATAAGCTAATTGGAAAATACATAACCCTGCTCTCACATGTACACCAGTCAGCTAATTGGAATATACATAACCCTGGTCTCACACCAGTCAGCTAATTGGAATATACATAACCCTGCTCTCACACCAACCAGCTAATTGGAATATACATAACCCTGCTCTCACGCCAGTCAGCTAATTGTAATATACATAACCCTGCTTTCCCACCAATAAGCTAATTGGAATATACATAACCCTGCTCTCACATGTACACCGATCAGCTAATTGGAATATACATAACCCTGCTCTCACACCAGTCAGCTAATAGGAATATACATAACACTGCTCTCACACCAGTCAGCTAATTGTAATATACATAACCCTGCTCTCACAGGTACACCAATCAGCTAATTGGAATATACATAACCCTGCTCTAACATGTACACCGATCAGCTAATTGGAATATACATAACCTTGCTCTCACACCAGTCAGCTAATTGTAATATACATAACCCTGCTCTCACATGTGCACCGATCAGCTAATTGGAATATACATAACACTGCTCTCACACCAGTCAGCTAATTGTAATATACATAACCCTGCTCTCACATGTACACCAGTCAGCTAATAGGAATATACATAACACTGCTCTCACACCAGTCAGCTAATTGTAATATACATAACCCTGCTCTCACAGGTACACCAATCAGCTAATTGGAATATACATAACCCTACTCTCTCACCAGTCAGATAATTTGAATATACATATCCCTGCTCTCGCACCAGTCAGCTAATAGGAATATACATAACCCTGCTTTCACACCAGTCAGCTAATAGGAATATACATAACTCTGCTCTCACACCAGTCTGCTGGTCTGGTCATGGTATTGATTATCTAGGCTGTCAGGTCTCTTAACTGGTCCTGGTCTGGTCATGGTATTGATTGTCTAGACTGTCAAGTCACTAAACTGGGCCTGGTCTGGTCATCCAATAAGCTAATTGGAATATACATAACCCTGCTCTCACACCAGTCAGATAATTGGAATATACATAACCCTACTCTCACACCAGTCAGATAATTTGAATATACATAACCCTGCTCTCGCACCAGTCAGCTAATAGGAATATACATAACCCTGCTCTCACACCAGACAGCTAATAGGAATATACATAGCCCTGCTCTCACAACAGTCAGCTGATAGGAATATACATAACCCTACTCTCACACCAGTCAAATAATTGGAATATACATAACACTGCTCTCACACCAGTCAGATAATTTGAGTATACATAACCCTGCTCTCACACCAGTCAGCTAATAGGAATATACATAACCCTGCTCTCACAACAGTCAGCTAATAGGAATATACATAACTCTGCTCTCACACCAGTCTGCTGGTCTGGTCATGGTATTGATTATCTAGGCTGTCAGGTCTCTTAACTGGTCCTGGTCTGGTCATGGTATTGATTGTCTAGGCTGTCAGGTCACTAAACTGGTCCTGGTCTGGTCAGGGTATTGATTGTCTAGGGTGTCAGGTCTCTAAACTAGTCCTGGTCTGGTCATGGTATTGATTGTCTAGGGTGTCAGGTCTCTAAACTTGTCCTGGTCTGGTCATGGTATTGATTGTCTAGACTGTCAGGTCCCTGTACTGGGCCTGGTCTGGTCATGGTATTGATTTTCTAGGGTGTCAGGTCTCTAAACTGGTCCTGGTCTGGTCATGATATTGATTGTCCAGGGTGTCAGGTCTCTAAACTGGGCCTGGTCTGGTCATGGTATTGATTGTCTAGACTGTCAAGTCACTAAACTGGGCCTGGTCTGGTCATGGTATTGATGGTCTAGGGTGTCAGGTCTCTAAACTGGTCCTGGTCTGGTCATGGTATTGATTGTCTAGGTTGTCAGGTCTCTAAACTGCTCCTGGTCTGGTCATGGTATTGATTGACTAGACTGTCAGGTCCCTATACTGGGCCTGGTCTGGTCATGGTATTGATTGTCTAGGGTGTCAGGTCACTAAACTGGGCCTGGTCTGGTCATTTTTTCAGAAGCTCAAAAAATAATCTGGTGGGCATCATCGTTTTCAAAGTCAAGTTGTGTATAGAATACATAGTAATAATAGCCGTTTTTTGTAAATTGTCTGACTGGCAATACCAGGTACCATTTTGATATCCAGGACTGGCGTATTTTGTTTTCAATTTGGGTAATTAAGAAAATATTACTGACATAAATGTTATCATAGTGTATGGCTGTATGCTGATATACGAGGATAAAGAGGATAAAGCCGAGTTCTGATCAGATCAGCACCAATGGTTGAGGATCAGTAATGTACAGGTTTTAATAGACAATTAAGTAATAGTTTTTATCATTTGTTTTATAGAAACATGGAACAACTTCTCGTGGCCTAAGACCGGTCAAGCTGGATGCTGAGGTAAGTGCTTGTATTCGACCACTTCACATTATAAACAATACACACTTATCCATATTCAACATATGCACCGTGGGGTTTTGATTGACAATTATAATGGTTCTGGTACTGTTCATGAAAGGTATTTGTAATGGGGTTGGGTTGGGGTTGGGGGGTTGGGGGGTTGGGTTNGTCTTCGCTATGATCGGCTGAGACATTTTGGACAAATTCAAAATTCATATATCCCATTAATGACTATGATACTTGTTTATATATAAACTTAATTTATTTTACAACAATTATGAAACACAAGTTATTTAAACCTATATTAATAACTTTTGTTGGCCCGGACGTCAGTGCTCAGAGGGTCTTAATGTGGGAGGAAAACGGAGTACTCAGAGAAAACTCATGTGGTTGGGCAGGTTTCCCTTTCATATCCAATTATTCAAACCCCAGCTGCCTTGGTGAAAGGCAAGTGTGTTATCCGCTGCGCCACCTGACCCCCCTAACTTACTTCTATAGCATGTTTGACTTTTGAGTTTTGTTTGAGCTCTAAAGCCTGTAGGCTGTTGGCCTCGGGCAGACTATATGTATAGACTCTCCATTAGGCCATACTGCCTCATACAAAGTAGGTCAAATTGTCTCAGGGAACAAAAATGGCTGAATGTGTTATAGCGTCCAGTAGCTAATTCCAGCATTGCTAATGATAATATTTATCCAAACATGTATGTCCATCACAGTAAATGTGGTATTTCTTTTGCTTCATTATCTCAGTGAAGGTGACCTGATCAGTAATCCTGGGTCATAGCTATGGGATGCCTTAACTACCACTGTACAACTCTCTAAGAAATCAATAAGTTTGGAATGATATCTTTGCTGCAATTAACTTTACAGTGGTGCTGCTAACTCGAGACCTGCAAGTTTTACTACCCAAGAAATTGTCAGTCCTGTCTCTGTAGGTTACAGGAATGATGTGAAGTATGTAACTTTAATAATCGCGTATACTACCTCAGATAAACCAAGGGGTCTCGTCCAAAGAGCTAGATACAGCACCAACTAACCAGGGGCTTTTAGTCCATAGGGCTGAACACATCACCAACAAACCAAGGGGTCTCGTCCATAGGGCTAAACACAGCAATGACAAACCAGGGGCTTAGTCCATAGGGTAAATACAGCACTGAAAAAAAACAGGGGCTTAAACCATAAGGATAAATATAGCACCAACAAACCAGGGGCTTAGCCCGTAGAGCTAAACACAGCACTGACAAACAGGGGGCTTAGTTTATAGGGATAAATACAGGGCTGACAAACAGGGGGCTTAGTCCAAAGGGCTAAACACAGCACTGACAAATAGGGGACTTAGTCATGAGGGCTAAATACAGTGCTGACAAATAGGGGACTTAGTCATGAGGGCTAAATACAGTGCTGACAAATAGGGGATTTAGTCATGAGGGCTAAATACATTGCTGACAAATAGGGGACTTAGTCATGAGGGCTAAATACAGTGCTGACAAACGAGGGGCTTAGTCCATAGGGCTTAACACAGCACTGACAAACAGGGGACTAAGTTTATAGGGATAAATACAGGGCTGACAAAGAGGGGGCTTAGTCCAAAGGGCTAGATACAGTGCTGACAAATGAGGGGCTTAGTCCATAGGGCTTAACACAGCACTGACAAACAGGGGACTTAGTCATGAGGGCTAAATACAGCCCTGACAAACCAGGGGCTTAGTCAATATGGATAAATACAGCACTGACAAACCAGGGGCTTAGTCCATAGGGCTTAACACAGCACTGGCAAAAAAGGGACTTAGTCCTGACAAGCCAGTGGTCTAGTTCTAGTTCTCTTTCTCTAATCCTGTTTCTTATTTGCCACTTACCTGATATGTAGCATTAACTGATCTGATCTCCAGCATTGATAACAATTATGTGGAGATAGAAAAGACTGGGTGTAAGGGAGAAGGATGGAGGGTAGGTGGGTAGGGTATGGAGATACAAAAAAGTGGGGTCGAGGGAGAAGAATTGAGGGTAGTTGGGTAGGATATGGAGATAGAGAAGAGTGGGTGTAAGGGAGAAGGATGGAGGGTGGGTGTTGGTTAGGGTATGGAGATAGAGAAGAGTGGGTGTAAGGGAGAAGGATGGAGGGTGGGTGTTGGTTAGGGTATGGAGATATAGAAGAACGGGGTGAGGGAGAAGGATGGAGGGTGGGTGTTGGTTAGGGTATGGAGATATAGAAGAACGGGGTGAGGGAGAAGGATGGAGGGTGGGTGTTGGTTAGGGTATGGAGATATAGAAGAACGGGGTGAGGGAGAAGGATGGAGGGTGGGTGTTGGTTAGGGTATGGAGATATAGAAGAACGGGGTGAGGGAGAAGGATGGAGGGTGGGTGTTGGTTAGGGTATGGAGATATAGAAGAACGGGGTGAGGGAGAAGGATGGAGGGTGGGTGTTGGTTAGGGTATGGAGATATAGAAGAACGGGGTGAGGGAGAAGGATGGAGGGTGGGTGTTGGTTAGGGTATGGAGATATAGAAGAACGGGGTGAGGGAGAAGGATGGAGGGTGGGTGTTGGTTAGGGTATGGAGATATAGAAGAACGGGGTGAGGGAGAAGGATGGAGGGTGGGTGTTGGTTAGGGTATGGAGATATAGAAGAACGGGGTGAGGGAGAAGGATGGAGGGTGGGTGTTGGTTAGGGTATGGAGATATAGAAGAACGGGGTGAGGGAGAAGGATGGAGGGTGGGTGTTGGTTAGGGTATGGAGATATAGAAGAACGGGGTGAGGGAGAAGGATGGAGGGTGGGTGTTGGTTAGGGTATGGAGATATAGAAGAACGGGGTGAGGGAGAAGGATGGAGGGTGGGTGTTGGTTAGGGTATGGAGATATAGAAGAACGGGGTGAGGGAGAAGGATGGAGGGTGGGTGTTGGTTAGGGTATGGAGATATAGAAGAACGGGGTGAGGGAGAAGGATGGAGGGTGGGTGTTGGTTAGGGTATGGAGATATAGAAGAACGGGGTGAGGGAGAAGGATGGAGGGTGGGTGTTGGTTAGGGTATGGAGATATAGAAGAACGGGGTGAGGGAGAAGGATGGAGGGTGGGTGTTGGTTAGGGTATGGAGATATAGAAGAACGGGGTGAGGGAGAAGGATGGAGGGTGGGTGTTGGTTAGGGTATGGAGATATAGAAGAACGGGGTGAGGGAGAAGGATGGAGGGTGGGTGTTGGTTAGGGTATGGAGATATAGAAGAACGGGGTGAGGGAGAAGGATGGAGGGTGGGTGTTGGTTAGGGTATGGAGATATAGAAGAACGGGGTGAGGGAGAAGGATGGAAGGTGGGTGTTGGTTAGGGTATGGAGATATAGAAGAACGGGGTGAGGGAGAAGGATGGAAGGTGGGTGTTGGTTAGGGTATGGAGATATAGAAGAACGGGGTGAGGGAGAAGGATGGAAGGTGGGTGTTGGTTAGGGTATGGAGATATAGAAGAACGGGGTGAGGGAGAAGGATGGAGGGTGGGTGTTGGTTAGGGTATGGAGATATAGAAGAACGGGGTGAGGGAGAAGGATGGAAGGTGGGTGTTGGTTAGGGTATGGAGATATAGAAGAACGGGGTGAGGGAGAAGGATGGAGGGTGGGTGTTGGTTAGGGTATGGAGATATAGAAGAACGGGGTGAGGGAGAAGGATGGAGGGTGGGTGGGTAGGATATGGAGATACAGAAGAGTTCCTGGTTGGATAGTAACAGGTTTTTTCCAATGGTTCCTGGTCTGGTAGTAATGTTTTTTTCCAATGGTTCCTGGTCTGGTAGTAATGGATTTTCTGATACTGACAGGTTTTTCCAATGGTTTCTGGTCTGGTAGTAACATGCTTTTCCAACGGTTCCTGGTCTGGTAGTAATGGGGTTTTCCAATGGTTCCTGGTCCGGTAGTAGCAGGCTTTTCCAAGGATTTATAATTTTGTGTACGGGATTGATAGATGTGTGACCTTTGAACTTTGCAGAAATTGGTTTTATAGTATCGTCTACAGGAATTATTAATGTGTGACCTTTGACCTTTGCATAAATTGAGTTTATAGTATTGTCTACCCGAATGATAAATGTGTGACCTTTGGCCCTTCCAGGAACAAGCGAAGATTGCAAAGCTCGGCCTGGAGATGAAGTTGATCACGTCAGAAATGGATGCCGAGACTGACAAGTGGGAGGAGCCAGATAATGACATTGTGAAGCGTGCAAAAAACATGTCCAGTATGGCTTTTAGTATGTACCTGTTTACACGCGGGGAAGGGCCACTGAAAACCACACATGACCTATTTGTACAAGCTGAGTATTTTGCTGAGGAGGGCAACAAGCTTTACAAAACTGTGCGTGAGTTTGCGGACAGAGTAAGTTACCACACCGGATCATCGTCATCACTACATCTAACCTGAAATAAGATAGTAATGTTATGGTAAAATTGGCTTTATAAAATGTGTGGGATTTGAAACACTACAAAATAGAATTCAAACCTGATGTGCACATTTATCAAATTTTTGCTTTATTTTTGTATTCCCTCAATTTTGGGTGCACATTAATATTGGCAAGGGTCAAGACAAGTTACTGCAAGCGGAGATACATTTTAACACATTATAATTTGTTTGTTTTTCTTTTCAATTTTTTGGTCTTTTAAAATAAAAACATTTTTTTTTTTTGTGAAACAGACAATGTTATTTGTCTAGACCTTTAAAAAGAAAACAAGTTTAAAGAGAATGATGTTGATTTGTCATATCGTAGGTACCAATATGTGTTCATCGGGAGGAACTGCTGTCTCATCTGGACAGGATTCCTTCCTACTGTCAACAGCTCCAGGCCACACTCAAGTCTTCTACGTATGGAAAGTCAGCCACATTTAACAAGGTACATTGTACATACAGAAAGTCTATCACATTTAACAAGGTACATTGTACATACAGGAAGTCTATCACATTTAACAAGGTACATTGTACATACAGGAAGTCTATCACATTTAACAAGGTACATTGTACATACAGGAAGTCTATCACATTTAACAAGGTACATTGTACATACAGGAAGTCTATCACATTTAACAAGGTACATTGTACATACAGGAAGTCTATCACATTTAACAAGGTACATTGTACATACAGGAAGTCTATCACATTTAACAAGGTACATTGTACATACAGGAAGTCTATCACATTTAACAAGGTACATTGTACATACAGGAAGTCTATCACATTTAACAAGGTACATTGTACATACAGGAAGTCTATCACATTTAACAAGGTACATTGTACATACAGGAAGTCTATCACATTTAACAAGGTACATTGTACATACAGGAAGTCTATCACATTTAACAAGGTACATTGTACATACAGGAAGTCTATCACATTTAACAAGGTACATTGTACATACAGGAAGTCTATCACATTTAACAAGGTACATTGTACATACAGGAAGTCTATCACATTTAACAAGGTACATTGTACATACAGGAAGTCTATCACATTTAACAAGGTACATTGTACATACAGGAAGTCTATCACATTTAACAAGGTACATTGTACATACAGGAAGTCTATCACATTTAACAAGGTACATTGTACAAAGAGAAAGTCTATCACATTTAACAAGGTACATTGTACAAAGAGGATGTGTATCATATTTAACAAGGTACATTGTACTTAGAGGAGGTGTATCACATTTAACAAGGTACATTGTACAAAGAGAAAGTCTATCACATTTAACAAGGTAAATTAAACAAAGAGATTATTATGTCTATTATTAGTGTTTATTTGCCTACCTATTCTGTCCTCTCCTTATTTGCCAAACTATTCTATCCTTCTCTCTTTATTTGCAAAACTATTCTATCCTTGTCCCTTTATTAGGTCACCTGAGACAAAGTCTCAAGTGACCCATCCTAAATGCCTTTTGTCCGTCGCCGTCTGTCGTGAGTCCATACACAATTTACATTTTCGACTTCTCAGAAACCGCTGATCTGATTTCAATAAAATTTTGCAGGAACCTTCCTTGGCCAAATATGCACCAAATTTGTTAATTATAAGGTTCAAAACCCCAGGGTCTAAAAGTAGTTAAATTGGCTTAAATTTTAAAAATCTTCTTCTCCAGACCCAGATATGCTGGAAGCCAATACTATTACAGGTGGAAGGGTCTTAAGGTACTTCATCGATGTGATTAGATAGATGTGAATTTCATGACCCCCAGACTCCATGTTTGCCCCTGGGGAGGGGGCGGAGTTTACTATAGTTTATATAGGAAAATGATACTTAAGGGTATGTTTGGTTCATTTTCAATTGGAAATTATTCAAACTTGACAGACATTATAACTATGAAACGCCGGTTTGATAATTTGAAAGTTCGGGCCCGGGCTCACCCCCAAGGGCTGAGGGGCGGGGCTTAAAGTGGTCAAATTGGCTTAAATTTTAAATATTTTCTTCTCTAGACCCAGATCAAAATTGTGAATTTCATGACCCTCGAGCTTCACATTTGCCCCTGGGGAGGGGGTGAAATTTACTATAGTTAATATAGGAAAATGCAACTTTTGGGTATATTTTGTTCATTTTCTACTGGAAATCATTCAAACTTGATTTTGCATTACATGAAGTTCAAAAAAATGAATTCTTTTTCATCAATAACATCAGTTTTTACATAAATCAGGTGACTGTTAAGGCCCATATGCATGGGCCTCTTGTTTGCCTACCTATTCTGTCCTTCTCTCTTTATTGTGTACCTATTCTGTCCTTCTCTCTTCATTGTGTACCTATTCTGTCCTTCTCTCTTCATTGTGTACCTATTCTGTCCTTCTCTCTTTATTTGCCTAACTATTCTGTCTTTTTTCTTTATTTTCTTACCTAATCTGTCCTTGTCTTATATCAGTTAATCACATTTTTTGTCACAGGTGGACAGTGCTATACAGGAGACAAAGAACTTAATGAATGCTATTGCCAAGGTGGTTACCACAAGCTTCATCTGTGCTACCAAGGTAAGGCCAAACTCACATACTTATATACTTGGTTAGCTAAACATGTAGATTACCTGGCCTTCTGAAACAATTACTTATTTTTACCTTTCCAATGATATATTGTAGGCTGGGAACGATTTGCCTTTTAAAAAACCCTTTGCCATTCACTGTAAAAAAAATATTTTAATTTTGCTTTTAAAATTTGACTGTGTATAGTATGTTTTGTGTTAATACCAGGCAAGAGCTCGCTATCAAGATAAATTTGGCCTATGATGGGCAGAATTGACAAAATTAAACTGCTGTGAAAATTTCCTAATATAGAGAAACTGTAAAATGGCTTCCTTGTCGTAATGTCCAAATGTTGGGATCACTGTCATAGACTGTGTTCTCATTGGTCAGTTATCTTAGACTGAGCTCTCATTGGTCAGCTAATCTCCCACTTACTTTTAACCAACATGTAGTAAACTGAACAGGCTTGAGTAATCGGGAACCGGGTCTGAGGATATAAGCTGTAGAAGTAGTTCCACACAAATTCCATTTAACAGTACAACTTCACGTTTAATTGCAGTACAACATAGACTATCGTCGCTCACCAGGTGGTAGTAGAAGATGGCGTAGCCAGTCCTCAGCTGATGCTCGTTCTAACAGCTCCGACAATGAGTCGGTGTATAGCAGCTCTGCTGACGGCATGCAGAGGAGCTCATCATCAAGTCGACAGTTCTCCAGTAACAATAGCCTAGACCGGGCGTGACTGGAGTTTAGGCTGCAAGGAGTCTGCTGAGGTCAAAAGGTCAACGACTGCTGATGTCATCTATTCATCCAATATTGACTGCTGACACTAAAATGAAAGCCTGTGATTGGTTTACAATAAGTTTTGTGGGTATATAAATTTAGGGGTCAATAACTGGGCAGAGGTCAAAACATTAATACCAATAAGGTTGTGTGAGGGTCAGTACCACATCCTGACCAATAAGGTTGTGTGAGGGTCAGTACCACATCCTGACCAATAAGGTTGAGGATCAGCTTCAGTTGCCGTGGAGTCTAACCGTCGATGGAGTTGAGCTTGGGCTGACCAGACCTGTAAGTTTAATTTTCAGACTAGACAAGGTCATATGATAAATGGTTTGTCAAGGTCAAGTAAGAGGGGATAAGGAAAAGCTTGAGCAGACACTGTCAGGATACAATTTTCATTGGCAGGTTCCTTTTACAGGAAGGAGGCTGGAGTTATTCCCCTTTTACAGGAAGGAGGCTGGAGTTATTCCCCTTCTCTCATCATTGAGTGAAATAATTGGTGATCAATGTCTGTGTGAAAGGCTGACTTCCACACTGTTAGTGATCTATAATGAAAGGCTGACTTCCACACTGTTAGTGATCTATAATGTAACAGTTTTACATTACTTTTTGTTGTATTCTTGCCATTTTATTTACTAGGCATGTTTTTATTGTTGTGATTAGGTCAGTAATTTTACCTGAGCAAGTTTATGATTTTTTTTTTAACATGTTGATTCAGTATTTATTTTAAGGAAGGCCCTGATTTATAGGACACTGTTGACTGTACAGCAAAACCTTGTTTTACTTTTGCCATTTGTCAGCAGAATGTGCTGAAGTGAACAAGAGAGACTACAACAGAAGGGGAACATTGGCAGTAACAGAGATGGCAAATAAATGGGGGGGGGGGGGGGGGGGG